GTGTAGGGCATCTCAGAATAAATCTGTGGAAGAATTGCTCAGTGCCTGCTAATATGAAGCAGCTTTTCATTTTCAGTTTGTTGCCACAGATAGACATTAGTTCGTTCTTTCTCTTTTCCTAATTTGAAAAGCAAAATGCAGTCAACATTTATTCAGTGTTTGTGTTACAGCAGTAGTCTCTCACAGAATTTATTAAAAGGCTCCAAGTGTATATAATGGTATAAAGTTAAATGATCACCATTGAATTTGAGTGTATCTTTATATGCTATATGGTTTTTAATTTTTTTACATATATATATTTTTTATTATTATCATTTATGCCTACAGCACCTGGTATTCCTAGGTGGTCTCCCATCCAAGTACTCACCAGGCCCGACCCTGCTTAGCTTCCCAGATCAGACATCAGGCTTGTTCAGAGTGGCATGGCCGTAGACCATGGACAGTGGCTCCACTGGGGCGTGAACCCAGGACCTTCTGCGTGGAAAGCAGATGTGCTAACTGCTACACTATAGAACCACGTCCGCTACATGCTTTTATAAAAAATTAAATTTTAATACAGGTTTAGATTTTCGTAGCCACACTCCAAGATACAAAATAGTTCTGTCACCCAGAAAACCCTTCATGTTGTCTCATAGTGGTCACGTTTCCGCCCCCCATCACCTCATCTCACCCTAGGCACTCTCTATTCTCCTTGCTGTAGTTCTGCCTTTTCCATAATGTCATGCAAATGGACTCACGTTGTATGTAGCCTTTTGAGACTGGCCTCTTTCATTCAGCATAACACCCTTGAGAGTAAATTCTCAAGTCTGTCAATTGGTTTGTTCCTTTTTACTGCTGAGTAGTACCCCATTATGTGGATGAACTACAGTTTATTCAGTCACCCATCAGGGTTCATTTGGATTGTTGAAACTTAAAGAAATATTATGTTTTGTAAGTTCTGAATTTTACAGTAGAATAATATATATTAATCAAGAAAAAATTGGAAAAATAGATAAAACTTGGAAAAATCCCTGCCCAAACATAACCTCTGTCAACATGTAGGTATATTTCTTTTCAGTCTTTTACCTGTTTATGGAGTTTTTTGGCTTCCGGTTACATTTTTACAGAGTTGTGATTCTTATCTTCATATACTGCTTTTTTTTTTCCTGTTTTAATTGTGAAGAGTGTATAGAACATACGGTTTTATAAGATTACTATAAAGCACACACTATATGTGTCCAAATTAAAAAGCGGAATATTCCTAAAGCTTCTGATAAGACCTTTCCCCATCATACCACCTTCCCCTTATCTAGAGCAAGCACAGTTCTGACTTCTGTGATAGTCATTCCCTTCTTTGCTCCCTAGTTTTCCAACCTATGTATGTTCTTTAAACAACACGATTTAGTTTTGACTGTGTTTGAGGTTGGCCTCCTGTTCTTTTGTTTACTATTTCAAGTATTAGCTCTAGCTCTGTTATAACAAATCTTCATAAAGCTGCTTTTTAGCCATGCATTATTCTGATGAGTGATTGTACTGCAGTTTATGTAGCCATTCCCCAGTTCAGCTGGTTTCTGATTTCATTATTGGAAATACTGCTTTATGTAGAAATAACGTCTTTCTACTTGAAGCCTTTTTTTGTATTTAGGATTTTTTTTCTTTGTACAGTATTGTGAATAAAAGAAGTTTTACGGCTCTGATACATGTTGCTGAATTATTTACAAAGAGTTTCACCAATTTATACCACTGTGAAGCCTTATTGTTCCTGGGCCAACATTGAGGGTTTTCCACAGCTCCCCCAAATAATAACACCTCAGAGGGTTGAAAAACCATCTTATCTTGCATTCCAAATGGTTCTCTATGTGTTTACTAATCAATTTTCTTTTTTGTTGTCTTTGCCCAAGTTTGTGTTGGGGTAGACCAGATTCTTAAGTAATGGTCAATGTGGCCTTTTTTTTTTTTTTTTAGATGTAGGTGCAAGAAACTACAGGCATCTCTGTGCTGTTTATTACAACAAGAATCCTGGGTTTGAGATAATCCACGGGCTACTGGACAGAATTATGCAGCTGCTTGATGTGCCTCCCGGTGAAAAGAAGGGGGGATATGTGATCAAAGCATCAGAAGGTAAGACATGTCAGCTGAATCCAGAGTCAGTGATAATGAAATGAAGAGGCCTAGCCCCATTTTTGATAAAGATTTTTTGTTTTTTTTGTTTTTTGTTTTGATTTGGGGAGAGGTGGGAGAGCTTCATTTTAATTATTTGTTAGTATTTTCTAGAAAACATCCCTTTTCCCGCCCACATTTTATGAAAATGCTTTTCAGAGCCATCACAGTGCTGCACAGTATGCCTCTGAGCATCGGTAACCCCTAGTTATTGTCACCTTCGAGCCACCAGCACCATGGTGAGCCCGGAGTTCAAACTGGAAGCTAAGAGAACCTAAACTGATGATTTGGACTCAAAAGCCGCCTGTCGGAGGCCTTTAAGGCAAAAGAAAAAAAAAAACACCTCAAAAGTTATTCTGAAAGACTTTCCATATGTGAATCAAGTCATAAAGTTGACCGAGGAAGGGTGGGAATCCTGTGTAAAAGTTCAAGTACAGTATAATCTCTGTCGGAGAGTTTAAGTTAAGATAACGAAATGGAATGTGTCTACTCCTAATATGCTAGTTTCTTGTCCAAGGAGTTCTGAAAGTTTTGCTTTTCATATCCTTGTAGCTTGAAACTGAGTTATTTGGTTAAGCAAGAGATTCAGAAACAACTTGAGAGAACTATCTTACCACTTGTTTTTACTGTTTACCTGACAATTTTTTATGACTGTATTTGGCTTCTTAAATTTCTAATAGAAGGTTCATTTTTTTAAAAGTGTCATTTAACAGTTACTTATAGTGATGTGAGGTTGAGAGGGGACATGTTTTTGTTTTTCCTTTAGGGTTATTTTAGCCCTCAGAGATTGTTTTTTCTTCTGTTGTTGGTTTGTTTTAATTTTTGTTTTCATTTAGAGACTTCTTTGAAAATGTAATAACCCAGAAATATTTGGGCCTTTTTCGGTTGAAGATCTATGGGATTGTCTGTTTCCAAAAAGTAAAATTAAAAGATTAAATGTCATAGGGAGTTACTGTTTTCTACCACTCTCTTATTAGAAATAACCAGTGAAAATATGTGTTACGCTTATAGAATTCTAGAGTTTTAGAACTTGATCTGGGGGTTCATCAGGTCCAGTGTCCTGAGGTGACAAGTGAAGAAACCAAGGTGAGGCAAGTTAAGCGAGTCAGACTAGGTCATAAATGTGCTCGTTAGGTGTTACTGTAACAGCAGGTGCGTAAATAACCACTGTGGGTACATACGGTGCAGGACTAAATGTGCATATTTACACTCGGGGCCTTTGCCTCTCACTGCTCCTTCCACAAGGCCAACTTGCCTGCCTTCATTGTGCCTTTTACCGTTCAAAGCTTTGAGGGTGAAAGTTGTCCGAAAGAAAGGGTTTATTGAACCATATGGCAGCCAGAAAAAAGGACCGGGTCCAGTCTAAACCATCAGTAGCAGGATGAGATGGAGAAGACAAACGTGTCCATCGTTCTGGGGTCGTCAGGGCTCTTCTATACAGTGAATTGGGAGAGGAAAGATGTACGTTGTTTTGAAAGACTTTCCACTGGCTCTGTATAAGGGGGTGGGAGAAGGTGAAGCAGGGCGAGTTCTGGGGCAGGTACGTGATGCTTTTGGATTGGGTGTGGGTAACAGTTTGGAAAGTTCATGCATCAGGAAGATGTGGTGGCAACTATTGGTCAGTTATTTTTTTAGATAAGAGCTGAAATAGCTGCTTGGAAGTTGATTCAGAGTTTCAGCATACAGTGGGAATGTGAGCCGTCTTTTGTTGGTTTCGGCCAGTGGCCGTTAACTGATGCATGATGCACTGTCTTGTGTCTTCCTCCCACCAGCACTGGCCATGTCGTTTTTCTCAGGATGCTATCTGTAAGAGCCAGCAAGCCAAAGATAATTAGCATCATTATAAATAATAGTTCCTCATGTCTCTTAGGGATTTCTAAGTCTTTTGATTATCTAATGACAAATACAATTACCCTGGTTTTTTTGTTTGTTTGTTTGTTTGTTTGTTTTATGGTCAAAGAAATCAAGACCTAAAGAAGTGGCTTGCAAAATTAGTAGCGAAGCTGGTATTATTAATTCTTCATCTAAAATTTCATATATGTATATATATGAATATCATATCTGTATCATATGGATATTTAAGTAAATCCGTAAACACAGGAATCGGTCGCTGGGGCATGTTTAGCTACTTTCCTTTTTCAAATTTATATTTCGCACGTAGCTTTTTCTGCTAAGGAAAGGTTTTCTGAGTATCAAAATGAAGAGTAGAAACAGATTAAGAACTACCATTTCTTGCCATTCTTGATTACTGAGTTGTCTTCTATTACTCTGGCATATGGCTTACCTTTTAATAATTAAAAATCCCTGGCGGCTTTGCAGTTATAATTGAGCTAAGTCCATTCCCCAGAGACCCCCGCTAATGTCAGTCCACTGGCAGTTCCTCTCAACGTCTGTGCTTCCGGTGAACACGGCCGGCTTCCTTCTGTGTGCCTCGGGGGTCGGGAGGGATACTCCAGTGGCACGGGACTTGACCGCCTCTGAGAAACTCGGCCCTATTATAAGAGAAATCTGGAAACTTATTTGATTGATCATCACATCGATCCCAAGGAGTTCTGTTGCCATTGGCGTGTCGCCTTGCTTAGATGGCAGCCCTCTGCAGTGTGTGGACTCTGCAGAAACACTCTTAAGGCTTTGATCGCAGGCAGAGCTAGAAGCTGGGGTCACTTGGCCTTGATGGTTTTCGTTGGCTGTGCACCCTTGCGATTAAGATCATAGGTGAGGTACGTCGAGTTGCCAATAGAATAAGGTCAGCTGTTGAACGGAAAAATAGAAAGAACATTTAACTTTTTAGCAACTTAGTGTTTCGAGGGTTTCAAAAGGCTTCACTCAGAATGTTTCAGTGGCATTTGATCAGATTATTACAGCATATGTATATGCATTTTTTCAGGCTGCTTCTCCTTTGTTTTTGTGGTTTGTTGCAAACTGAATTATGTATGTTAAAATGCATTTATCCTTTTCAAAAACCACTTCTGGGCAAGGAGAATTCTCAGCATTTTTGTGTGCAGAACAGTGATGTGATTCCTGGGCGGAATCGGCGGCCAAAACCATTCCTGGTAGGAGGTAGTGGGCTTCGTGTGGGATTGGCCACATGGACTTGCGGGTGCAATTTTTCCCCTTTAATTTGTTACCTGTTTCAGTTTTCTTTGTTTACAGTTCTACAGAAAATTTTAATTTAACTTGAGACAAGATCCCTGGTGGAGAGACAAGTTTTAGAACTTTTATTTTTGACAATTCTAATTTCATGCTGCTCAGCATTCATTTTATGAACTGAAAAATAACCTTGTAAGTAATATGCACGTTTAGTCTTGCACCATATGTACCCACAGTGGTTATTTAGATGCCTTCTGTTACAGTAATACCTAATGATCGCTGACTTGACCCGTAGGCCGTGACCTTTTTCCTCTCTGGACACCTGTGGAAGATTTCAGACGCTAAAAAATCTGGGTGAAAGTGTGGTGTTTCCCTGGCCTTCCCACTGGTTCTTAGTGTAATATGAGCTTGGCAATACGTGAGAAGAATACATGCTGAATAACCTGTTGAAGTCAAGGTGTTCCATTTATGGTTTGATTTACACATAAAGTTCTGGACTAGAATAAAGGGGGTCTGCGTGGCATATCCAGTCAGTCCATCAACAAAGACGTCATTCTGTTGAGTCGCCAGGTTTAAGGGAAAAAGGTTTTGAAGTTTTTAAGCTTCCTGACCTTAATACTGTGCGGAAAAGAGTCTTTCTTCTTCCGGTTCCCTGTTTTTCGTGTTTGAGGAAAGCTTTCAAATATTATAATTTTGTTACCTTCTTTGAAGAGATTAAAAGACTCAAAGCAAAATTAAACACATCAGCAGTGATCACCACAGTCAAAACAGTAGTGTAACATGGGGCCCTAGTGTTTATAAAAGCTTCGGCAGTTATCACATGACTCACTTAGCCCCGTACTGTTTTTAAGTGTGCTTATTGTTCTCACCCACTTTCATATGAACAAGGCAAAGTTCTCACCACTTACTGTTCACTAAACAGTGAACATTTGCAGGGGCGTGGGGCGGGGGTGGAGGGGGTGAGGTTACTTAATTGACATTTTTGTACTCAGCAAATTAGAGTGCTTCTCGCCCACTGGAGTGACTTGAATCAGCTCACTTTCCCTTCTTATAGATGATGTTGTAACAGTTTCTAAACCTTTTAAAAAATTATCCTTCCCCTAAGAACATTTTTAGATTTTTTCCCTAATTTCTCCTCCATAAATATTTTAATACCAGAGATATACTGCATATTTATTATGTACTATATTTATAGCTGTGCTCTATACAGAAAAAGAATTAAGTATAAACCTTTTTAAAATTCAATTCAGATTTAAGAATAACTAAAAATTTTTAAGTTAAACGTTTAATTTAAAAACTATTAACATTTAACCATCTGCTGAATAACTTAATGTTTGTTTACTTAAATCGTGTATCAAATTATATATCCCAATTAGCAATTAATTTAAATGCATAACAACCGTAACTAAAAAATTTTAAAAATCATTCAAAACTTATTTTTTCGGCAAGAGTAAAACAGCCGAAAACGTTAGTTTTTTAAAAATAATTTTATTGGATTTGACTTTTCCTTGATGAGAGAAAATAACTAGCTGTAGTCAGATATTGTCAGTGTTTTTTTTTAGTACCTGATGTAATTAGTGATGTATTGAATAACTATTTGAATTAGAAACTGTTTTTATTTAATTCTCAAAGCCTGAGCCACACTCTCAGGATCACACATAAATAACATCCACAAGGCAGCCAATGGCAGCCCCCAGGCCACCTTTCAACAGGACCGTGCAGTCGAGAGAAAGCCTTCTGGTCACTGAATCACAGGCATCTACGCCATCGTTTTGAGGCACCGATCTTACATGGATTTGCTGTGTCTTCCGTGTCAGTGCTGCCCCTGTGATGCCCGAGGCAGCCCAGTGTGAGATTTTCTCAGGGAGGGT